GTGGCCAAACAAGAAGGTTCTTGGAAAAATTGTTGGATATACTATATTTATAAGATCTGCATTTGCATTGCCAAAACAATAATAGGTTGGTGGTTAGAAGTTTTATCACTGCACTATAGGGCCTGAAAATTTTTTTGGTTCTTCACACTTTTCATTTTTGGTTGTTTACGGTCTGAAGGGGCCAAGGGTGAGGATGAGTTATTAAAAACTGAAGGGTTAGAGAAAATAATGAAAAAGCATATGGTATATAATAGTTGTGTTAAGGACAGGTATACATTTTTTCATTTTTTTGTTTGTCTTTTTTCTTCTCTTTGTGGTTACAAGTGGAATGAAGTGTAGAGAACTAGCTGTGCAAGACACTGGCTCCGAATTATCTTCATCCATTTATACATCTGTTTATGTTAAATGATCTTTAGCAGTCAAAGAGCTAATTTCACTATTTTGAGGGTTGTGTTTGCTCTACCTTAGTGCGCTTCAATCTGCTTCTCTGCTTCAGATTTTGACAAGTTATGATGTTGACATCACATCCATCCTTTTCCTTTATCCACTCATCCTAACAAATGTTGATTCCATTAAAAATGAAATTTCTGTTGAATGTGGTTGATCCTTCTTCTTCTTCTTTTTCTTTTTTTTTTTTTTTAATTTGTCAATTATTTTTGTTAAATTAATCAATTATATTATCCCTGTATGTTAAAAAAATATATTCTAAACAAAGAAATATGATCCAGGGTTAGATATGGCAGAAGAAGTAAAAACTATAAAAATGAAAAATAAAACCAGTGTTAACGATGTCCCTGTATGTCAGATTAGAAAAGAGGGAAAACTATAATTTATTTACTAGTAATTTTGGGTCGGTGTAAATAAATACTTGAGATTTTTGGATGAATATATAATGTATTTGTGTTTCAAGGTAAGTGTACATAAAGTTTAAAATTTTGAAATATAAAAGAAAAAACACTAAAGGTTTGTATTAAATATATGTAATCACTCAAAATTACATGAAATATTTTAAATCCTTTTATTTTTTATTTTTTATTTTTTTCATTTTTTTAAGTTGAGGGTTCTTAAGACGTTTTAAAGATTTTCAAGTAGTTATTTACCCTTAGTGCAACACTTAAATGTTTAAGTGTATATTTTAAAATTTTATGTCTTTATTTCTATAAATCTATAATCACTAATATGTTATATTATATATTTTTTTTAGAACTTAAAATTTTTTACGTGCACTTACTGAAATTGTAAACATCAAAATTGCAATTTCCCCTAGAAAAGAAATGATGTTCTGTCGTTAGTATTGGACCCTACGACTTCGCTAGCTGCCCTAAAAATCTTAATTTGGACGGTTGGAAGCTACAATTTTAGAGCAAAGTCTTCTGCGATGGCCCAAATCATTTATTATTATTATTATTACTTTGGGTTTTCTAATTAGTGGGGAAGAAAACGGATGTCCCTTTTTTAGATAAACAGGGTCAAATTGAAATGTTCCAATTTTGTGGAATGACCCATTTTGTTTGTTTGCTATTGATATTTGATAGTGAAAATAATTCTGGTTGTTGTAAGATCACGTCAGATCCTGTGCATTTATACATGTGAGAAAGTCTAACATACCGAAAATGACATCTTTATAATATTATGTCGCAAAATATTATAAATTTATAATTATAAAATATTAAATTATTAATTATGATAAAATTATTTGTATTTTAATCATATATTTAAGATTTAATTTTTTAATCTTTACATATAAAAAACACTTATAAAGTGTTAATATATAATTATTTTTTTATTAAAGGGAGTATACATAATGTTGTATGTATTTATTTATTTAATATTATATTATTATTATAAACTTATAACTTTATATGAAATTATAAATATATCATTTTAATTTGAGAAAACCCTAATCAAATAAACAATGGTAATTACACCCAAAAAGAAATCACGAAGAGCGAAATAATCCCTTTACTTTTAGCTTCTAAATATCTTCTTTGTGTTTGAAATGATACTTGTAATTCAAACTTTGAAGAAGTTAAAAAAATTAATGTACCATATTTAACATATTTTTAAATTTTGGGGGCATCTTCATCCACTAAACCTACCTGGAATAATTCACCAACAAATTTATAAAGAAAATGAAAAAATATTTATCAATTAGTATTACAAAAAATTAAAAAAAAATCTTAAAATTATATTATTATACTAAATTATCATTAAAATAAACTAAAATGACTTAAATTTTAAATTAAAAATGAAATTATTTTAATTTATTCTAGTTAATATTTATTAAAATAATATAATTTTTTAATTTTTTTAATTTTTATATAAATATGACCGATAAACATCCATCCCATGAAAATATCTCAACTTTCCTCCACTATGTGAAACAAATATAGTAGATGAATTCACGCGTAGGCTTACCAATTTCAATGTTCATTGACTTGTCAAACAGCACATGCAGAATATTTTTTGGATGATGACGAGTTGCATACTTAATAATTAGTAAAATTTTATGGTCCTTTTGTTGTTTGTTTGTTTGTTTTTTGTTTTTTTTTGTTTTTCCTATCCTCAACGCCATTATGTGGTTCTGTCGAAAGCTACCAAATAATTGTTCAACTAGATTTATCACAGTAGTTGACTGAAAAAAAAATTTTTTTTTAATTGATGTCCTTACGGCACAATTTAAGACTTATTTATTATAATATCTATAATTAATTTTATACGTAATTTTATATAAAATTTAAATAAAATATATAAAAATATAATATTTTACTTCAAAATTTATTTAAAAATAAATTTAATATAAAAATTTATTTAAAATTAATTAAAAATATATTAATTAATGAATTTTAACTTATATTCTTAAAACATAAATGAGACCAATTTAAAAAATAAAAATAAAAAGACTTATCTCGGTAGTTATTTATACTATAAATAGCTTTCAATTCGAAGAAATCACGTGTCCAAATAAGGGACAAGTGGATGGCTAAATCTTTCATGCATTAAGATTTCACAGTTGGTTTGGACTTTGGAGTTACCTATTTGCGGCCTAGATAGTGACTGTTATGGTGGTTCAACACTACGTGGCAAGAAGTGTTTAATTCTTTCATTTAATGATATTTACTTGAATTAGAAAACTAGGGGGAAGGTCACATTGGGGTTCACTTTCAGTTGGATTAGGAAACAAACTCATAACTATTATATGTTGTTGGATTGTAGGGATAAATACAGTAGTCTAAACATGGAACAGGTCGGACACTAATAGACAGTTATGGAAAGTGGAGCAGTTAGCACTAGAAACATCTCCAATAACAGGGTTAAAAGAG